ACGTTTTTACGTTTTTACTAGAGTGGTGCGTGTTAAAACGCAAGTAAAAACGGTTCTTAATAAAAACTGGTAAAAACGCCGTGTAAAAAGGGCAAAAACTTACGTTTTTACCGTTTTTACTTAAAACGAATTTTTTTTTTAAAAAAAAGATTTACAAAAAAAGAAATTGAAAAAAAAACCCAATTTTCGTTTTCCTCAAACCATATGCACATATCTTCATATCTTTTTGTTTGGATATATGTCTTTTATAATTATGTCTTATAAAACTGCAATTCTATTATAAGTTATGCTAAGAGAATTGTTTTGTGTTTTTGAATCATTGTGTGCATTGAAAGAAGTGAAATTATATCCTGATAAGCAATGATCCAAAATTGCAAAGTGTATGAAGCAGTTAGAACAGATTGATTATCCATTACTTGTTAGTTATCACTGTTTATAATTTTGATATTTGGTTATCAAAAATAATTTTCCTTTTTAGATAGATAAGTGGCTCAACACACATCTTTATTATGTGATCTTTTTTTTACATGTATATATATAATTTTATATCTTGATCTTAAGTAGTATAATGTAGAAACTTTACGTTTCGTGTCGTTTTTGCGTTTTACGTTTCTACCACCATTTTCCGTTTCTACGTAGAAACTCGAGTTTGACAACATTGGTTACAGGAACTATTGGTAATGAAATTGAATTGTTTATTGGTGTTATTTGTATTTGATTTCACAACAAGAATGGGAATTTTGGCGATTAATCAATGAAAATTGTTAAAGAGTAAAATCAATGAAGATATATGTATATATATGGAGTATGAAAATTTCTTGTACAGATTCATTAACAACTTATTTGTTTACTTTTATTTTTTTTAAAATTTTAAAATATCTAAACACTAATTAAATGATTTATCTGGATCCAATGTCATTTAAATGATTTTAGACATTTATTGCTGATTGTTCCATGTTTCTTTTTAATTGTGAAGTTTGTTGTCCCTCTACGTTGATGTTCTTCACAGGTCACGACTAGGGATATAAATGGGCCAAGTTAGACCAGGCTTTGACTTTGATAGCCTAAACCTAAGTCTATGTAAAATATTTAGAGTCTATATTGACCTATTAGCCTATTAAAGACTTGATTTATAAGTTTAGCCAGACCTATTATGAAAAACTAAAAAACTAAAAAATCTAATTCGACCTGTAAGGCCTACCAAGTTGCAAATTAAAGTTTATAGGCCTCAAATCAAATTAAAATATAAAAGATAAAAAAAAGTATTCACAAAGATCACATGAAATAAATTTTCATTAATATCACATGAAATAAATTTTCATTAACATCATATAAAATAAATTTTCATTAACATCACATGAAATAATATTCATAAAGATCACATGAAAATGTTTATAAAAATCACATGAAAATTTCATATATGTATATAATTTTCACATTCTTTACTAATTTAATTTTGTATTATATTTTAAATTTTAAATAAATATTTATTATTTGTTAAAGTAACATCAATCCTATTATTTTATAAATTTTAAGTAAATTTTTTTGATAATAGATTTGTATAATTATGAAAATATTTTGATAAATTAATATGTCAAATTTTGTAGCCCCGACTAAAATTAAATCCTAGCTCCGCCACTGTATTACATGAACAACTTTTATTCATTGGAGCAACTAGCTTTGTTGCTTCCCAAGTCGATTGTAGTTTGACTATTTTCCTTTTAGGCATTAAAAAAGTATATTAAAAAGGAAATTGTAAGACATAATTATCTAAGTATTTTTTCCTCCAATATTCAAGTTTAAGTTGAATATTTATGTATTGAGCTATCTAATAAATAGTCAAACCCCTTAAAAGTAATTATTAGCAAAACACTAATTATTTTTTTTCCGTTTGACCATTAGATGAATATCGATGTTAATTAATAGTAAATTATTAAATAATATTTGAACACCTACCGTTCAAACTTCAAATGTTCTAATTCCCAAATTTAAGTAATTGTTTGTTGTAAATAGTAATTATGTAGTCATTTATTAGTAATTACGTAGTTATTTATTTGTATTTATTTAGTCCGTTACTTGTATATTGGGCCAAGCCCATTGGGTCAAAATTAGGTCAAGAAGTCTCTATAAATGGAGACCCCTATGTACAGATTCAAAAAAAACATCAATAATATTTCATAACCCTTTTTCAAGTTGGTATCAGAGCTTGAGTTCGATCCTCACCGCCCCCCAGGTAAACCAAAGATTGAGCCTGTTGCATAATCCACGCTTCAAGCCAAGAGGGCTCTTGCGTGAGGAGGCGTGTTGAGATATATAGTCCCACATTGGTTGAAGAGCAACTAATGTGGAGTTTATAAGGCCTTGGCACTCCCACCCTTTGAGCTAGCTTTTGGGGTAGTGTATCCCAAGGTTCTTTAACATTGTTATATGAACAGTTTTTATTCATTTTACAGAATTTAGGCAATGTACTTTATGTATGTTTTTTTTTTTTGTGAGACGCTTTATATTTTTTCAGAAACAAATACCGACAAATTAAATTGAAAAGGAAATGGAGATTAAGGGATTGGTGGTAACTGGTAAGAGAATACAAGAAATGATTCGGTATCATATATATGATATTATGTTTTTATCCATTATTTGATGAGTCATAGAATGTGATAAATACATTTTGTTGGCTCATTTTATTCTACTTATCATATCTCAAAGATCATATAATAATAAGTACCACATCCATGTTATTTCAAATATAATTCTCTATTTATTTTTATTTTTCCTAAGAACTTTGTTGGCTACCATTCCCTACTAGTCGATCACTACTCACCACTCTTGTCACCATGGCCCACCAACCGCCACTATCACGGCTAGCCATCTCCACACACCCAATTACGCCACTATCCAGCCACGAATAGTAATAATTAATTAAAAGGAAAAATGTTTCCGCATTTATTGTAGATAAGTTATTTGTATTTATTCTCAAAGTAATATTATTTTAGTATTGAAATCTTAAAAAATTATAAATACAAAGATTATTATAATTCTATAATAAATTAAAATTACAAAAATATCATGATTTCTGCCCCAAAACGATGTTATGTTAGACTTATTACAGATAACTTATTTGCAGTAACCGTAGAAAAAATGAACCCTTAATTAAAATGGTTTTTTAAAGATTATTTGATAAAAATACAAATTTTTTATTTTTGAAAATTTTGTAATTTATTTTTACATTTAATTTAGTTATATAGGATTATAACTATTTACCGAAAAAAAAATTATAACTTTTATAATTTTGTAATAATTTAAAACAAGAATTAATATATAAAAAAATCTAAAGATAAAAACAATTTAAAATTCAATTTTAAAAAAATTATATAAAAATCTATTGTAGAGAATGATTTTATTTTTTATATTATATCTTATATGATAATATTATTATATAATACAGATGATCTAATGGGCATGAAACATGAAATCGAATTATGCAAATCTTTTCATATTCTTTTTAACCATCTTATTCTGTCGCTCTTTATCATATCATGTAACAATTCTCAAAACATATTAATTCTCAAAATTTTATCATTCTTTTCTTTGAGGAGATAGAAACTTACTCGGATACACACCGAGTTAAGAGCTGTTTGACTATTTTTCGTGCAGACATTAAAAATATATTAAAACCAACATTTTAAATATCTCTTGCAAACAAATTAGTTATTTACTCATTAAGCTCGTGAATCATGATTGTAAGCAAAAAAAAAAATATAATCATAATCCACAAGAAAAGTATATATAACCAATATTATTAAAATCGGATCGATCATTGATCTGATCGAGGTACTGGGTTACTAATTCAATCGCATGACTCGATAATTATATGTAATTTTATAATTTATATTAAAAATTATAAACATACTCAAATATATAAAAAAATAATAAATATTTCAAATATTTTAATAAAAAATAAAAAATCACATATTATTATTCAATAAAGGATCAAACAAAAATATAATGATCGTGATACGGGACTTTAGGTTCAGTAAACGACATCTGTAACTATAAATCAAATCAAAATTTTCTATATAGTGCATAATTAAGATAATATTAGTGTTGTAGGTACATAACTTATGTAAGTCCATAAGCCAAAAAAATCCAAATATGTCCATTATTATTATTTTCTTGAAAAAAAAATTGGAATTTTTTTCTTAGACCAGGCCGGGTCATCAGTTTTCATGAAAATTGGCTGGGTCGCACCAGGTTGCACCGGTTCTGATGCATGGTCGGTCCGTTGCTTTAACCGACCGATTATATAACCGATTTACCGGTTCTCGAATCAACCCAACCGAATCGATCCGATTTTATCAACATTGTATATGACCGTCCAACATTCACTCCCCATCTTCCCTACAGGCTTAAATTGTCATTTAATTTTATCGCAATATAGTTAGATTGAAATGTAAAATAATTTAAGCAAATGATGGTAATTCAATTGTAAATTGGAGTTGAGCATTGAGGGTAAGATCATGTGTTAGATCCTTCCACTATTATCTTTGAGAATACTTTAAAGCCTTAATTCTGGACCTGTTCCAAACGAAAATACCTCCCATAAAAGATACATGTGATTTATAAAAGAAATATATAAAATAGTTTTGAATAAAAATTGTTTTTATCCATTAATAAATAGAGAAAAATTACATTTATAATTTTTTTTTTGCTTATAAGCTCATGTAACCAAATTTTAATCGTTTGTTTCTGTTAATCTGATCATTATAATTTATTAAAAATTAATAATTAATTAATAAATATGATTCAATAAATTATAACCATTAAATGGATGAAAATCAAACGATTAAAATTTAATTATAACAAATTATAAACAAAAATAAATTATAAATATAACATACTTCAAATAAATAAGTCAAAGATAGTTTTTTATAACACGATTATAAAACACACTTGAAATTGAAAGTTAAAACTAGAAACCGTTTTATACAATATGGCACGGATATTGTGGAACTCCACTAGGAAAGTAGTGGCGCGTCCGTAATCACATTTTTTTCATTTCCCTGGGTTTTCTTAAACGCCGTTCTTTTCCATTTTCTCTTTTTTTTCTTCCATTTTTTCTCCTTCTCTATTTTCTTCCTTCAAACGAAACCCTTGTTTTCTTCTTCCCTTCCTACTTTCGATTGCAAAACAGAAAACCAATACCATCGAAGTTCTTTCTGCAACAAACCCTAGCGATTCGAAGCTACGCGTTAGAGAGAGAAACCGCCATTGAACCTTTTATGATGAAGTGCGATGCGACTCACTGAGTTGAACCGAATAAAGATCTGAGTTTCGGTGATCGGTTTAACGCGCTCATGGGTGCTGCAGGCTCCAAGCTTGAGAAGGCTCTTGGTGACCAATTCCCTGAAGGAGAGCGTTACTTTGGTCTTGAGAATTTCGGCAATACTTGTTACTGCAACAGCGTTTTGCAGGTCTTCACCAATCTCTTTCCTTTTTCCATTTGATTGTCTTTTCTATTCGATCGTATTATTTGGAAAGTATCGGTTATTTATGGGCTGATTTTGTTTTTGTGGTTCTCTTTGGTCGCTTTGATAGTTTATTATTGATTTGTTTTCTGTTAGTTTTGAACTTGTATGGAAAATTTATTGCTATTAAGGAAGGACAATGTTTTCTTTTTGTTTTGGATGATCGTTTGACCGGTTTTGCTGAATTTTCAAGTGCTTCATTAGTCATGGAATATAAAGGATGAGCATTGACATTAAGGCTTTTACTTGTTTTTCACAGGATTTTTTAGTGAAAATAAGGAAATACGGAGTAATTGAAAGAAAGAAAGGGAGACGTTTGGGGCTTGTCATATGCTGCTTTAAAATCCCTTTCCCCCTTCCCTTCTTGAATTTGTTGCATTTGAGTATGCAATTTTCCTTTTCTGACACAAAAAATGGTTTGTCATTTGTTGTTGGTGTTTTATATTGAATTTATTTAAGAGAGCAAGCCTGAAGCAGAGGCCAAATGCTTCTTTGTGATCGAGAGGTCACCGGTTTGAATCTAAGAAACAACCTTTTTGTAAAAAATGTAAGGATAAGGATGTGTATAAGGATTTCTCTCTACTTCATCCTCGCAAGTCAGGATTTCATGGGGAGTGATTTTTTGGTATTGCATTTATTTTCCTTTTCTTTGACTTGAATGCGGTCTGGTCAACAAATAGAAAAAACTAAATTGCAGTTCTGATTATTGGAAAGGATACAGGAATCTTAATGTCAGCTCTTCAGCCATTCAAAATACCTAGTATCACTGAATTTATCTAACCTTCTAGCTTTATATAGAGTACTTTCAATATTGATGGATTGTGTTTGGACACCAGAAGTCTCTCGAGTCTACTAATTTGGATACATTCTAACCATTTTTATTGTTTTCCACTAACAAGTTACTCTTTTTCTTTCTACAGGCACTATACTTCTGTGTTCCATTCCGTGAACAATTGCTAGAATATTATGGAAATAACAAAAGCATAGTAGATGCAGAGGAAAATCTTTTGACTTGCTTAGCCGACTTATTTTCGCAGGTAATGAGTTTATTGTTTGGAGAATTCTTGGTGTTTCTTGCATGAGGCGAATGAGGTGAGAACCTGATCCTCCAGATCAATGACTGCCCAATCACTCCTAGATCAATTGGTTTTCATCCCGGAAATTATAAAAAAGCTATAAGAATGTGAGAACGTTTATTAAGTTGCCCCTATGACCATCCAAAAATAGAATAGTGTCATTTGCAAATTGTGGCAAAAAAATTTGCTTTCCTTTATACCCAACTCTCATGACCCTCTCAATACTGTTGTTTATTATTCTGCTTAAGACAGCCACTGTAATAGGGACAAAGGGTCACCATCATGGGCCCCCTCCCCCTCCATAGATCACTAAATCAAATTCTTCCATGTAAAGAATATTACGTGGTTTATTGTGTTGATCTATAAATCTAGTGAAGTTTATCAAAACATGACTGGCTACTTATAGTGCCTAAAATTTGTTTACTTAGTTAACATTTGTTTTCCTTTCTGTGAGCTGTTTCATTTTTCCCCTTTGTTGTTTTCCTTTGAGATACGAGAGATTGGGAAGTGGTAATTTCATGCCTTTTTAAATCAGTGATAAACTACGCTTCAGCATACATATGTTATTACTTCTCTTTGTGAAACTGCTTCAAAGTATTTATGCTGCTTCAAGGTATTTATGATGTGCCTTTTATATGTACCTATGTTTTATTGTTTTGTCTATTTCTCCCTTTTGCTCTTTTCCTTTGAGATACAATAAATTGGCAGAGGTGATTGCATGCTTGTCTAAATCTGCTTTGTTGTATGTTTGAGTATATATGGTATTACCTGGGCTTACTTGCTTCAAGGTATTTGCAGTGTGGTTTATGTAAGTATCTACATTTGGATATCATCAAAATTTTGATCAATTTCTTGACTCAAATGTCCAGTTATTGCACTTACCTGCTTATTTTTAACTTTCTTGGTTTTGACTTGAACATATATTATTTCTTTTGTTATAGATAAGTTCCCAAAAGAAGAAAACTGGCGTCATTGCTCCCAAACGATTTGTACAGAGGTTGAAAAAACAGAATGAACTCTTCCGTAGCTATATGCACCAGGTATGTGTTTAAACTGTCAAGAATGAGCACTAAGTCAGAAGGTGACTATTCTAAAAAAATTTAAATTCCTGTCGACACTAAAACAAATAATATTAGTTTGTACACGCAAACATACAGTGTTTGGCTATGTTTATGTGTCTCTCCATGTTTATATAAGATGCTATGCATATGCGTGTCCCTGCTTAGTTGCAGCTGATTTAAATATGAATCTTAGCTAGAGATGCTATTATCTGTATGAGAGGGGTTTCTAGCTGGCAAAGTCCAGAGTTACAGTTGTAAAACTAGTAGATCATTAGTTAGATCAGAGTTACTTTTGTAGTGTCACCGTGTCACTCTTGATTTGCAAAATGATTTAGAGCTTATAGTTAAACTTGAAGGCATAGTTAGGATGACATTCCTCTGGCTTGGCTGGATAATATTTGAAGGTTGCAATCTGTTCCCTTGATCTGATCATATTTTAATAAACCGGATAAGAATTTGTTAAATTGATCATTGTGCTTGTGCATATTGGGACTCTATATACAGAAAATTAGAAATATATTAAAATCTTTCTATGTGAACTGGAACATGTACATGTTAAATGTGATTTTTATTGACCATTATATGCCCTAAGGGAAACTATGTTGCACCGACACGGGACACGACATGACAATTCGACACGTTAATTTTAAAAAATGTTAGATTTCGACATGTTAGGACATATTTTGATATAAAATAATATTTTTAATTTATGTAGCGTATATATTATTTTTAATATTCAATAATTTAACAAAAAAATAAAGCTAAACTTATAATACCTATCAATTTTGCAAAGAAACATAAGATATCCCAAATATTTATATTAAACTCAATAAAATGGTAATCGTAATCCAACAAGTCAAATAGTTGGAACTAAAAACGCAACGCAACCTTTGAACCCTTTTTTGAGTCTCTGCAACACGTGTTAGAGTATTGGAAGAGTGTCGGAATGTTGGGGAGTGTCAGGAAGTGTCGGACATGACACATCTAGTTTTTTGAAGTGTGGGTGCATCATAGAAGGGAAATGTAGAGTCTGTTTGATTGTGTTTTGGTTTTTTTGTTCTTAAAACTGTTTTGTAAAATAATTATGGAAACAGTTGTTTTCTATATTTTTTCTTTTTGAAAGTTAAAAATCAAAACAGAAAACAAAAACAACTCAGACATGTTCTCTAAATTTGATTTTAAAAATAAAAAACAATTATAGTTTTCAAAACATTTTTTACTAAACAGGTCTTGCCAAACGAGTTTTTTAGTTTTTTTGTTCTGAAAACTAAAAAACTGTTTTGCAAAACAGAAATCAAACAGAGCCGTAATCTTTTGAAATCTGTTTCCATTTGGCAAAATTCCCTTATCACTTTGCCATATGAAGATCTTTAGATGTCTCATGCTTTCACCAGTATACAAATGGATTTGGCTTGTTGGCTACCTTCTTTTTGTGAGGAAATAATTGCGCAACACACGTTAGATTTTCATCTATAGCCTCTTTTGAGAGGTTGAATAATGACAATTTTTTTACTTCAAACAGGGCTGTATATCTCAATTTGTTTACTAGACTTCTCCGTCCTCATCATAGTTACTCATATAGAGTATGCCATTCGATATTTATCAAATACATTGTTAATTTTGTTTGCTAGACTCAATATACTGTTTGTTGGAGGATGTCCCTTATTAATCCTTTATATAAAAATAATTAAAAAGCAACACTGTCATTGTTAATCTTCTCATTTTTGGTAGGATGCCCATGAGTTCTTGAACTTTTTGTTGAATGAACTTGTTGACATTTTGGAGAAAGAGGCCCAGGCTGCAAAAAATGATCAAGATACATCACCACCTGTAAAGGCTGCGAATGGACATATGAACGGTCCAGTTAATGGTGCTAGAAAAGAGCCTTTAGTTACTTGGGTGCACAAAAATTTTCAGGTGACATTGATCTGCCAAGCTTGGAGTAACCTTAAATTGTGAACTTTGTACTAGATCAAATCTATTATGCTCCCTCTTTTTTCTTGGGTTGGTGGGGGAGTGGGAGCTGCTGCTATTGTTACTCCCACTCCATAGTGATCACAAAAATAGGACTTTTAAGGATTTCTTTTAGGAATCTCATTATTGTAAATTACTCTGATCAGGGAATACTCACCAACGAGACAAGGTGCTTGCAATGTGAAACATTAACAGCTAGGGATGAAACTTTTTTCGACTTGAGCCTTGACATTGAACAGAATAGTTCAATTACAAGTTGTTTGAAAAACTTCAGTTCGACTGAGACATTGAATGCCGAAGACAAATTTTTTTGTGACAAGTGCTGCAGGTATATAATGTTTGCTCCTGGGCACATTTTTTTTATGATTACCCGAGTACTATTTTTGTGGCGTGAGCTGTTACTTGGCTTCTTGAGTACTATTTAGAAGGTAAAGAGTGAGTTCAACCATTTTGAATTGTGTGCATAGCTGAATTATTCTGTTGCGTGTGAGAGAGAAATTTTTTTGTGATGAAGCAGAGATGTCAAATGGCTTCAAACATCGTGTATTATTTATTGGCAATGGTTATCTCTTAATTGAAAATAAGTTGCTATTTATGTTTAATTACGATGTTTCCTGTTTCTGGGTATATGGTTATGACCTAAGGTTTTGCGAAGAAACCATGATAGGTTCACCTTCCATTCATGATTGACATTATTTGTTCATATCTTATTTGAAAGGTTTTTGATGGCTATGTCAGTGTATATAGTGTGTAAAAATATGAATGTACTCTCCCTGCTTTATTTTTCATGTCCGTTTTCCGGTCTGATAATCTAGATATGAACTTTCTTATGACATTAGCTTGCAAGAAGCTCAGAAGAGGATGAAGATAAAGAAACCGCCTCACATCTTGGTCATCCATCTTAAGCGGTTTAAGTACATTGAACAGCTGGGCCGCTACAAGAAGCTGTCTTACCGGGTTGTCTTCCCCCTTGAGCTGAAGTTAAGTGATACTGTTGAAGAAGCGGATATTGAGTATTCTCTTTTTGCAGTGGTTGTCCATGTTGGGAGTGGGCCCAACCACGGGCATTATGTCAGTCTTGTGAAAAGCCATAACCACTGGTTATTTTTTGACGACGAAAATGTTGAGATGATTGACGAGTCTGCTGTTCAGACATTCTTTGGGTCATCGCAAGAATATTCCAGTAATACAGACCATGGTTACATTTTGTTCTATGAGAGCATTGGCTCTGGTAACGGGAACTAGATGGAGGAGCCTTGCGTGTTTTAGGTACTTGAATCATATGAACTTGTCGTCGGTTTGATTAATTTTCTTTTGTAACCGTTTTCCCTTGTTCAACCTGTTTGAGGAGTTCTTATATATCCTTGAGAGGATACAGGTTGTGAAAATGTATACTTAGGTGGTTGGCATGTATAGTGGATAGTGGAAGCACTGTCCTTTTTTCCACAATAAGAGCAGATAGAGCAGTGTATATGGTCAATTTCACAGACAATGTATTCATGGGGTCAAATGTTCAGTCGACATTAGAAAGACAATGCAAGGGCAATTCCTCGTAACTTATGATAGTTTATTCTACATTATATTTTACAAGAACTTGCTGGGGTTTTTTTTCTGATCATTAAAAAGCATTTGCAATTTAGATTATAATGATAAACTTATTCAAAACCAAAAGTGCACTTGTAAACAATCTACTCATCATAGTTATTTCAAAAATGCCCACGCCCTGAATTCTTTTGATTGGTTGTTAAAAGCGGCGATAGTATGTAGTATTTCAAGTATTCTAATAATTGGCAGACCTATGACCATACAAAAATAGGGTCTTTAATCACAGCTTTGGCGCTGTTGTGGTAGTTGCGCTAAAGCCTTTATAGGTGGGAGTAAAGAGACCAATAAAATCAGATTTTAGATGCAAGAACATGTCACAAGCCCATGGTCAAATATTTCGATTAGGTTGTAAATCACATAGCTCTTTAGGTAATCAGGCTAAAGTACGAAATTAGGTATCTAAAATGAAACCCCTAATATCAAGGGTATTGCAGCCTCTTATCGAATTGTGAAGCTAATTTTTTCAGTTCCTCATGACAGTCAAGCTTTGCCTTGAAAAACTGGCTGAACAACTAGATTAAAGCATTTTGTATTGAGAAGATCAGACAAATCTGCACTGCACGTTTGAGCATCTAAAGGAAAGTAAATGTGAAGTCTGTTTATTTTGCGTTGTAAGAATGGAAAAATTCCAAGAAATTCTAAGAGTAAACAGACTCCTTAAACAAATTCTGTTTATTTTGTTTACTATGCATTTTTATGAGAAGTGTTTGTAAACAACTACTTAATTTTGTAGCTGAGTATTTTTTAATTTAGTGCCGTAAATAAAATATTATGACAACCTTAATAAAGGTAGCTCTACGTTGCGGTGAATCAGGATAAACCTATTTCCGCGCTTTTCTTCCATTCTTCTTTTCTATTTGCAATTGTGTGTGATTAAAGTGGTCCTACCCTACAGATGCTAAGTGGGCGTAGGCATGAAAGTATCTTCGTCCAAAAATGCTTGCAGATCAACGAGGTCATCAAATTTGCTTGTTTCTTCTGAATTGTTTAAACTCATATAATGCTTTACCTGCAAAAGGCATATACAAAAGGCTATGCTCTACTTACAAAACGCATATAATATAACTCTCTTCCGGTTTATATATGCATAGTGGAATGAAAAGTTGAAAACTACTTTCTGATGTCTGAAGCACAGAAACGAAGGAAATGGGCTAACCCGGCTTGACTTGTTATGGGCTGTTACTAGATGACTGATAATCTGCACTATGGGTCCAATCAACCCACATATGAAGAGGTGGCAGTTCAGTTCAAGTTGAGGAGTTGAATGAACCGTTTGTTTATATTTTAGGGTTAGCTTTTCTTTTTCTTTTTTCTATAATCAATGTAGATAATTTATCTACATTGAGCTTAAAACGACATCATTTTGAGGCGGAGATCAAGCTAGTTTTGTAATTATAATTTGTTTCAGGTTATAGTAGTCTTTTTCATTAAATTTTTTTAATTTTCAACCCAAAACGACGTTATTTTGGAAGCAAATGTAGATAACTAATCTACGTTTACTGTAGGAACATTAAGGGGACGTTTGGTAGTGAAGAAATTTTTTTTTACTAGGAAAATAGAATTACTAGAAAAATTTAAGAAAGTGAGTTGGAAAAAAGTTGTTTGGTTGGACAAAATATTACCGGGTAAATTAATTAAAGTTTTGTAAATCTATGTTGTTTTTTATCCATTTCTCCATTCATCTAAGAATACCACATTAGAAGTGGCATTTCTCCTTTGTGTTTGTCACCAATTTTTGCTCACAATTGATAAATGATGGGCATTCAAGTTTGCTTGCTAAATTTTTAAAAAATTTCATCCAAATGTGGAAAAGACAAAATGCTACTTACAATCTATGATGCACCGGCAGCGGCACCGACACGGGACACGGGACACGACACGACACGCTGACACGTTAATTTTTAAAAATATCATATTTCGACACGCTGGGGCACGTTTTGATATTAAATAAAATTTTTAATATATAATATAATTTATATTTAATACATATAAGAGTTCATAATAAGTCATATCTATGAAGCACCGACATTTCAAAAATACTGACATGTCGTGTCCGACACTTCCCGACACTCTCCGATACTCCGACACTCCCCGACACTCCAACACGTGTTATCGAAATTCAAAAAAAGGTTAAAAGATTGCGTTGAGTTTTTAGTTCCAACTATTAGATTTGTTGGATTACGATTACCATTTTATTGAGTTTAATATAAATATTTGGGATATCTTATGTTTCTTTACAAAATTAATGAATATTATAAGTTTAGTTTCATTTTTTTGTTAAATTATTGAATAGTAAATATAATATGCACTACATAGATTAAAAATATTATTTAATATCAAAACGTGTCCTAACTTGTCAAAATCTAACATTTTTTAAAATTAACGTGTCGGAGTGTCGTGTCGTATCGGTGCTACATAAAGTTATATAACCAATCAAATATTTAAATTTCATAACATAAATGTCAGGCGGGTCCAAGGGGAAGCCTGTGGCAGGGGGCCTCCACCAATGAGCTAAGTTACTCCAAGTACACCAAGTGGATCCGACACCATGTCTCAACCCAAAACCTTAAGGCATTGGGTTCATGGGTCCTTCCACTTATATACTCTTCACTTAGCTCATCACCAACCAATGTGGGACTCATCACACTTGAATACTCCAACAATAAATATAAATAAAAATAATTTTTCGTACTTTACTTATTTTTTATGTCAAATTTCATAATAGAAAAAAAATTAATTTATAAATTAATTTTTTTATATTTAGTTAATAAAATAAAATTAAGATTAAAAAAAAGTGTGTCCGAGCATTGACTGTGTGTAGAAAAAATGTGTCGGAACGTGTAAGAGAGTTGACCGCGTGTCCCCAAATGTTGACCGCGTGTCTGAACTTGTCCGTGTCGGACACGACACACAAATTTTTGTCCGTGCTTGGTTACAATTGCATAGGTATCTCATGAGAATCCTTGAACCAAACACTCCCTAAAACCTATATTTTAAGGGGAAAATATTTTTATTTTTATTGTAATTTTATTTTCTGTTACATTAACATAAAGTGAGTGAGTTCTATGACAGAAAAAAAAAATTCTGCAGAAAAAGTCAGAAATATTAAACTTAAAACGTTGACATTTTAAGATTTAAAAAAAAAAGTATAGCATATTTTTAAAATTTTACTTTCATATTATGAATTTTATTAAAATATTGTATTTTCCTTTTTATATCTCAGAACAAAGTTGTTTTAAGATTGAGATAACTTCATATCTTATTTGCATTTATTTCGTATTGGCTGGCAGTCACAGATATGTTACTGTTATTAGCAAAACAGATTTTTTTACAATCATTGTTATATATATATATATATATATATATATAAGGTAGGATCCTTTGATACTAGTATCAAATTTAAAGTTTGACATCTCGTCTGAGAGCCGTTAGATAAAAAAATCAACGACTCTGACTTGTAAGCATGTGACACCATTGATCTTTTTTGTTTTACGGCTCTCTGACGAGATATCAAACTTTACACCAATGTCAAAGGATCCTACCTCTCTATATATATATATGGGCCAAGATATTCTTACACCAGGGTAAGAGTTAGAAGTCTTACACTCAATCTTGACCATTGATCTACTTATATCCAATGGCTCACATTTTTAAAAAATTAGAGCCCTTAGATATAAGTGAGATCAATAGACAAGATTGAGAGTATAACTTACAGCGATGTAAAATGATTCTGACCCTGTATATATATATATATATATATATATGATCATACAGACAGGGAATGGGCCAAGTATTTAATGTTTAATGTATTTATGGAATGGGCTAAATTTTTAATGTTAAGGAATTTATTGAGTGGGTCTACATGTCCCAACGGTGCATCTGCAACCTTTGCAGTGGGCCCCACGTCAGCCAGCTTACACATTAAACGGCCTATCTCCTATTGAAATTTTTTTCTTCTTTTTAACAACGTTCAATGATTCAACACACGCATCAATAAACAGTCATAACTTCTCGCACCAAAGATGAAATACACATTTACGTATTAACAGTTTTTAAATATAGATATGGATTCAAATATAAATAAGTTATTTATATTAAATTTAAAATGACGTTAATTTGAGACAAAAATAAAGGTATTTTTATAATTTTATTTTATTTTAGGGTTACAATAATCTTTTTTATTATAATTTCTTAGTTTTTCAACCTAAAACGACATCTTTTTGGGAGAAAATGTAGATAACTTATCTACATTCATTGTAGAAATATTAAAGACTATATATATATATGGGTTTTCGTTTTATCCTTTAACATAACACAACAAACTTTCCTACACTCACAACATTTTGTGGGATGCACATTTTTTAAAACAAAAAAATAAATAAAAAATTAAGGCACACAAAACGAATCTCTATAACATTACACAATCACTTTTTCTACAATATAACTCTTATAAAACCCTATATATATATATATATATATATATATATATATATATATATATATGAGTGTATTCTCTCATGTTAAAAAAATATAATATCATGTGAGAAATCATAATCAGATACAGGTGAATAAATGGTTTAAAGGATGAGAGAAAAATATTAAAATAAAGTTACAAAATCATCACAATTGATTTACCTTTATATGATTGAAATTTTTATATATGACGTCATGTTTAACATGAGAGAATCTATTTCCAACATCTATAGAAAAAAAATCAAGTATTTAACAAATTAGATTGGATACTTGTCTTTTTTGTTTAATCGTTAATTTTATTCTATTACCAAAAAGGATTTCAAATTATATAATCATGTATATCGTTAAAATCGTTATGAAATAACTTCGTGGAAATTTCACCTCCCTATCTATTATGAATAATGTAACCATTTGAATACGGGTTTAAAATTCGCAAGGTTACTATTCATACAGTACGGTTCATATGATCACTATTCATACGATATTATTCACAC